TGTGCGCAGCGCGGCTCCCTGGGCGTCCAGCTCTCAAAGCGCGCGAGGTATTGCAAGACTTCTTTGGCGCAGGTTTGAAACCCCGAGTGGAACGCATCCAAGTCGGCCTGGACCGGCGATTTCAGAGAGCGCTCCCCTAGGGTGCACAGGGGAGGGAGGCGAGAAGAAAAACCGCGGCATTAAGACATCTGCTCATCACGTGGGCCCTGCTGCCTACAGTGAGCTCGGCTTTTCCTGGGCATTCCAGCGATATAATCCGCAGACTGCCGAAAGGAGGGGGTGGCGGGTGATGCGCTCTCCTTCGGGTTGAAAAAACCCAAGTAGAGAGGCGTAGCCGACACTTTAAATAAAAACGGGGTCCCTTCAGCTCTGCAGAAAGCCTCTGGGATGCTGTGGGTACTTGGCACCAACGGGAAAGCAGAGGCAATGTTCACTAGGAGGAGAACGCAGTGGGGAGGGAGTTCCAGCACTGGGCCCCCAACGCTCCCCGGTGTTTGTTTTTTGTTTTTGAAATCAGGGCAGGCTTCCTTAGATTCACTTACCATTCTGTAAAGCAATTATCTTCTGATGCTGCTGCTCTGTTAAGGCTGTTAACGCTTTTAAGTGCTTCAAAGTTAATTCCAAAACTACAGCTTTCTCCAAATGCCCCAGTGTCTACAGTGGTGCAGAAAGGAGGAGGGCAGGGGTTACTTTAAAACACACAAATTTTACTTAATTAGCTCCCCACACAGCCCATCGACTTAGGCAAATAAAAAAAATAAATAAAAAACCACTGGGAAGGAAGCGCTGCTCAGCGCCCCACAAGGCAGGTCATCAATGATCTCTGCCTTCAGCCCGGAGCCCCTGTTCCGAGTCTCTGGGAAACTCCATTCCTGCCTAAGTTGGAAGTCGGGCCTCTTAATATTTACATTTATGGCCCTATCTCTGGGAGTCGTATCAGGCCAACACCCTGGAAACCACCAAAGAATGAAAACGCGCATCTTACTGTCAATTTCAGATGTTCAGGCAGCAAATCTTTCAGCTGAGCAATGCATTCATTAATTCGGTCTCTTCTCTTTTTTTCTATTAATCTGTGCGGTAATTTGTAGGTATCCTTCATACATGAGCCGGGGGGGAAAAAGAGACAGCCGTAAGCTAAGCATTCACTCATTCACTTACTAGATAGAACCCTCCCACCCCAACCCCCAAACACACCATGCAATGAACTAATGCCCAGGAACTCTCTCCTCTAGACTTCTAAAATGCAATTTAAATTCAGGTGCGGTGTTGAATGTCCCCCGAGTATCCACCAAACCACTTAAAATTCACAGTCAGGGAAGCTCGGGGCTGGAATATATTTGCGGGCAGAGTTTCCCTGCGAAATCAATGGCCCTAATTAACTACCAGGCAGATTATGGGAAACTTAAGACTTACCTTGGTGTCGTCTCGCTTCAAGCTCCTTTTGGGTTTACACATATACAAAGCGGAATAATCCAGTCTGCAAAAACAGAAATCAGCATCAGGCCCCCATTCCGGGAGGGGCTCTGCCCTCGCCCGCTCCATGTCACTTTGTGCAGGAAAAAAAAAAAAAAAAGCCAAACCGACTCCTAGACAGAAATTCGCAACGGTGCGTACACCTTACCCTATAAAATCCCTATGTTCCAGTAACTGTCTCTCCTGCAAATGAGGGATTCCTTCGTCCATGTTCAATGGCTGTCCGTTTCCTCCTTTTCGATTTGGAGGGTTCTGTCCTGTAATCTGTGGGACGTTCGCCTAGGGAGATCTTGGGGGGATGTGTGTGTGTCTCCAGGCTGTCTCGCTCTCCCTCTTCGGCGCAGTGTTGAAAGTGTGAAGCAGTTGGCCGCCCCTCCGCCCCGTGCTCGCTCGCTCGCTCGCCCTCTCGCACACCCGCGCGCGCACACCCGCGCGCACACACACGCACTGCGCTGGTAGTTTGCTCTCACTCCGGGCAGTGTTTGGCCACAGGGCACGCGCGTCGCCGGCCAGACCAGCACCCAGCTCACGTGCGGAACGTACCATCCGCGGTCCAGCCCGGAGGGGTCGGTACGGAACCGTGGACGTGGCCTCTCGCTCTCCCACCGATTGCTGTTGGTTTGGGCCAGAGCAAGGACGCGACTTCCCGGTGGCTAAACTTCAGCCGGGAAGGAAATTTCCGAGGCTTTGCTCACTGCTCGGGTTGGGAGGGAGGGAAGGAGGGAGGGAGCGAGGGGAGAGAGACACCCCTCCTGGCGCTGGCTGGAGGGCTACCCTGAAAAAGCGTGACTTGCAATCCGCTCTCTGGAAGGATTTAAGATCAGTGAAAATGCACTCGCTGGTTCTGAGTGTCGCATTCCAAGTGGCTTCGGCGGCGACACAGTGTCCCCGGGCTACCTAAACTTCCCGCAGCAGCCGGAATTGCGGTGCCACTCATCGCAGCGGCGGATGACGTTTGGGGCCTCGGGTGCTCCCGGGGGAGTGCGGAGAGGGGGAGGGGTGGCACGTAAGGGCTGCTGCGGGAAAGCCACGCAGTCCAGGTCCTGCCTGTCCCAACTTGTGTGACGCCGTGCTACCCCTCCCCCGCCCCCGTGCGATAAGCCACGCCGAGAGTGTGGCGAGCCCACGTTTACTACTGGCACCTCCGCGGCCTCCCTCCTTAATCCCGTCTCCGGCGGGTACCAGCACAGGGCCGGCAACGTGATGCGACCTGCGGCGGCTGCCACATCAGCGCGCAGGGATGCCGTGCGCGCGCCCTGCGGCCCCGGGAGCCCGGTGCCGTGCGGCCCAGGACAGGCGTCCCCAGGTGTCAGGGTTCCCGCAACTCGGGATGAATACGAACCCGAGTCCCACCCCGGTGAAGGTGGAGACCCCGGGTTGCGCCTGCCCTGAATTGGCAGTCACGTTCTCTGGGGGCATTCGAGAGCGCCGGTAGCACGTGAGCGCAGAAGGGACCTGGGCCCCAAATGCACGCGCACTGGAGCGCAGCAGGGCCAGGGCAGCCGCGCTTGGGTTCCGGGGACGGATCTGGGTCGCCGGCCACGGCGGCTGGGGCGGGTCACGTGCCGCCGAGCCTCCTCCCAGCCTGGCGCGCGGGCGACGAGCCCGAGTCCTGGGCGGAGCCGCGGGGATGAGTTCCTCTCCCTCTCCAGCACCCTCCCGGGTTCCTCGAGCGGGACGACTCCGCGCGACCTACAGCAGGCGATTAATTAAAGATAACAGTGAAAGTGTTTTTTAAGATGCGGGTTTTTATCTTACGCCCCGGCCCGCCGTCTCTCGTCTCTAAGTGGTTTATCTTTCTGATTCCGAGGCAAGTTAAAGTTCCAAACAGCTCATTGGTGCAGCATAGAATCACTGCTTCCTTCTGGTTCTTAACCGGCCAGGTTAGCTGCGGCGCGCGGGAGATTGAGGTGAATGATTTTAAAAGGGAAAAATAACAGCCCCAGGTCCAGGTTTCTGAAAGTTCGCGGTACTCAACAAGCATATTCCAGAGCCAATCCTCCCTTTAAAATAATGACTAGGGCGTTAGGGGGATGAATAGGCCTGGGTCTCTGCGTCTTGGCCTTGCCAGTAGAGCGGTCACAAGGGACAGAGGAACTCTAGGACTAAGTCGCCCAGCTTTTAGCTGAAGCTGAAACAGGAGTCTTGAGGTCCAAGGGGGAAGGGCTGAGGTGAGCATGTAAACTAACCGTCCCTGAAAAGACTCTGGGCTGTACCCCTCAGCCTTCTCCAACATTTCCCCCTCCCTAGCTTCCTCCCCTTCTGGTCCAAACTTTAATTCTAAGTCAGCAGTTCCTTAACCTCTCCCGCTCCTGATGCAGCAGGATGTAAATGGGCTTTTTGCCCATTTTATTTTTTAGTTGGGTGAGTGCTTTATTCTCTTGGGACAGGGTCGCAGTGTGTAGTCTTGGCTGGCCTGGAGCTCCCTATAAAGACCAAGCTGGCCTGGAACTTGAACACTTAGAGATGGCTTGCCTCTGCTTCCAGAACGATGGAGTCACATCTGGCTTTTGCTCACCCTCAAGTTCCCCGTTTAATCGCCATTGTTAAGTTACCCTTGGATCTTTCTCATACTTTTTTTCTCTTGTCCTTCATGCTCACCGTTTTGTTTGGCTTTACCTTGCTTTCTTTTCCACACAGGGTTTTTCTATGTAACAGCTCAGGCTGTCCTGGAACACACTCTGGAAACCAGGCTGGCCTCCAACTCCCAAACATCTGCCTGCCTCTGCCTCCCGAGTGCTGGGATTAAAGGCATGCGCCACCAGCACCCGGCCTCCTTTAATGGTTAGGATATTTCCTGTATTTCCCCTCTCTTAAACTTGAGTCGGTTGCCACATCTGTCTCAAACTCTTGCCTGTGGGGGCCAGTCATCCTCTTGTGCCACCAGATGTCCCTTGACAACAGGCCATCATAGCAATGACTAACAGCGGCAGAGCATTTAGGATGAGAGAAGCCGGTTCCCTCCATAGGGCTTCTGAAGTGTGAACTTACTAATGCATGCCATGACCTTGCCAGGTGTTATTAGAGCCTCTGTAGATGAGGAGGATACGTCCTTATTGGAGGCTGACATGTGTCAGAGGTCCCACAAGCAGACTTTCAGCCAGACAGTGTGCTCTCGAGTTGCCTGCTCACTCCTTCACACGAGGTCTAAGTGCACACTAGGTGTGAGAGCGAGTGTTGGGTGTGCAAGAGAGATGGGGGAAGGAGAGAGGAAAGTGTGGACGTCACGGTTGGAGAGATGGCTCAGTGGCTTAACAGCACTCACTGGCTGCTTTCTTAGAGGACTGGGGTTCAATTCCCAGCACCCCAATGGAAGCTTATAAATGTGTAGCCCCCAATTCCAGGGAACCTAGCACCCTTTTCTGCCCTCCTTTGGCACCAGGCATGCACACGCATGCATAGACATACAGCAGGCCCAAAGCAACATTTACACACATAAAATAAATGTAAACGAGTCTTACTATTTACTTCTTTAAGCATGGGAGCTGGCATAGAGATGGGGAGCCTTGGGAGATGCAGTTGAGAAGTGCAGCCAGCATTTAGCCCTGCACTGACTTAGCGTTTATAACGTCACACGGGTGCACCAAAGTTAGTTCAACTGTGAAAGGTGACGGTGCTCAAATTCACCATCTTTACTGAGCAAACCAAGCCAAGGCAGACATGAAGAGTCTGGGTTAGAACTGGTCAGAACTGGAAAAGGCGGTACCTGATCAGACAAGGAGCAGAACCCTGACTGTCCTCTTCCGATATGTTTACAAACAGATGGAGTCTTGCCTAATACCATCTGAAGCCAGTAAAACACGAGATGAGCTCAGATCCCTTTCCTGATTACAGTCCAATCATTCGTGAGTGTCCCACTTGCAGTTACAGACGCCTAGCTTCACTAGCTCTTCCGCAGACGGGTGGAGTCCTTGTTACCTTTGCTGCTTCTCTGGGCACCACTGTAGCGTCTGCCTCCTCCTCAGCGTCTGGCCTGAAGGTGGTACCTGTAGCATGTCTCTCTCTCTCTTTGGCTCTCTGTGTGTGTCTCTCTCTGTCTCTATCTCTGTGTGTGTCTATGTCTCTCTGTGTGCATCTGTCTGTCTCTCTGTCTCTGTGTGTGTCTGTCTCTGTCTATGTCTCTCTCCATGTGTCTCTGTCTCTGTGTCTCTCTGTGTGTTTATGTCTCTCTGCGTGCATCTGTCTGTCTCTGTGTGTCTGTCTCTGTGTCTATGTCTCCATGTGTCTCTGTCCCTGTGTCTCTCTGTGTCTGTCTCTCTGTCTCTATCTCTGTGTGTGTCTATGTCTCTCTCTGCGTGCGTCTGTCTGTCTCTCTGTCTCTGTGTGTGTCTGTCTGTCTGCCTCTCTCTCTCTGTGTAGTTCTGGGCTCCATGGTCCACATCCGGGCTTTCCTTCCACTGCACACCATCTCATTTTACTGAGGTCTCTCATCAAATGTGGAGCTCATTGTCCCAGCCAGGCTCACTGGCCATTGAGCATTGCACTCCTAGCTCTGGCGTTTCAGGTGTGTGTCCACATGCTTCCTGGACAATCAGAATCTGAATTCAGGTCCTGTGCCCATGGAGCAGACACTTTACCTGCTGAGGCATCTCTCTAGCCCTCTGCCTTTTTATTTTAACACAGGCAAAGTCGCTCCCTGTAGAGACTGTGGTAAAATGAGGCATCTAGTCCCATGTGCCAACTATACTATGCCCTAAACTCCAGGCACCCACTGTGTGGAGGTTCTATGTGTCTCATTTCCTACAGAAACTGGGCTCTCCCTAGAGGACCATGTTCCTGCTGGGAACAGGTTCCTGCCTTGTCAAGGTTCTCCAGGCCTCACCACTCTTCAGGAGAGGTGGTGTGTGGCTACTTCTGGATTCCAGATCTGAGGCAAGTGACTTATCTCTGATGGCCCAAAGAACTGAGGTCTGCCCAGGGTGTATCCAGCCACCTGTGAGCTATGAGGGAAGTTCTTTGGGTGGGCACATGCCTTTCCTCTCAGAGCCTAGGGAGGGAAGTGAGGGCCTGGAGCACTCTGGACAGGTGCCCCACCCTCTACCTCAGTGCCCCAGCCCTGGTTGCATTTTTTACTGAACATGTTTTGGTGATTTAGCAAGTGTAATTTACCACTATTCCACACAACTCCATGCGGAAAGAAAGCAGCTTATGAAGCAAGAGTCCTCAGAAAAGTTAAAAATGTTTTGCATTGGTGCACACATTGAAGCCTTGGCACTGGGGGCATGCGTGTAGGGACTCCTTCTCACTGGCAGGAGAATGGTTAATGCTCACAGGCCTACTGCAGAAAGGGAGGTGCCTGGAAGGCTCTGAAAAGGGAGGGGGATGCCCATGGCTCCTCTCAGAGTCCAAATATGGCTTTAAAATATTGATGATGCTGTTTGCTGAAGGTACTAGATTTCAGGTCCCAGAATAGAAGGCTGGGTTTCCCAGCTGCTTGCTCAGCACATTGGCCCAACAGCACACACCCCCATTTATTTTGTAAGGAGCTGGTCTCTCCATAGACTGCCAATGGATGTGTCTCTGTGTCTGTAAGGTGACTTAACAAATCACCTGTT